GCCCCGCCCCAGCGCTGCCCCTGTGCCCCCCAGAACCCCGACATCGTGCTGGTGCACTACCTGAACGTGCCGGCCATGGAGGAGGGCGGGCGGGGCTGCGCCCCCCGGCTCTGCGGACCCCCCCTCTGCCCCGGGGCCCCCCCGCTCTGCACCGCCTCCGCCGACCCCCGCGAGTGGCTCAAGTGGTCCCAGGAGGAGCTGGTGGCACAGCTGCGCCCCATGTGTGAGTGGGGGGCTTCTCCGGGGGGTTTTGGGGTGGGGGGACGCCCAAAATTGTCCTTTTTTTGGTGGATTTGTTGTGCTGTTTGTGGGACATTTATGGGAGCTGGGGAGGGGAGTTCACCCCAAACCCCCCTGTGTGAGTTGGGGGCTTTTCCCGGGGGGTTTGGGAAGGGGGGAACACCCTAATTTATCTTTTTTTGGCAGATTTGTTGTGCTGTTTGTGGGATATTTATGGGGACTGGGGAGGGGAGGATCCACCAAACCCCCCTGCAGGATTTTGTCTGTTTTTCTCTGGGGTGAAGCAGGACTGGGGCAGCCCGAGGCTGTTTTGGGGGTCGGGGAGGGCACCCCAAAGCCCCTCCTGGAGGGATTTTGTGCTGCCTTTCCCACAGGGTGGGGGGCTGCGCGCGGCAGTTTTGGGGGGCTCTGGCGCTGAGGGGTGTCCCCCCTGTCCCACAGTCCACGGGGTGAAGTGGGGCTGCGGGAACGGGGGCGCTGCCCCCGGGCTGTCCCTGGAGCAGCTGGTGCAGCACGTGCTGGAGAGGCACCAGGCCCGGCCGGCCCCCCGCACCCACGCCTGCCTCTGCGCCGGGGGCCTGGGTGAGACTGAGCCCCCAAACCCTCGGGGACCCCCAAACCCCGGGGAAACCACGGGGGAAACCCACCGGGACCCCTGAATCCCCAGGGAAACAACCGGGACCCCCAAACCCCAGGGCCCCCCGCACCCACGCCTGCCTCTGCGCCGGGGGCCTGGGTGAGACTGAGCCCCCAAACCCTCGGGGACCCCCAAACCCCGGGGAAACCACGGGGGAAACCCACCGGGACCCCTGAATCCCCAGGGAAACAACCGGGACCCCCAAACCCCAGGGCCCCCCGCACCCACGCCTGCCTCTGCGCCGGGGGCCTGGGTGAGACTGACCCCCCCAAAACCCTGGGGAGCCCACTGGGACCCCTGAGCCCCCAGGGACCCCAAAACGCCGGGGAACCCACGGGGGAAACCACCAGGACCCCTGAACCTCCGTGCTGGAGAGGCACCAGGCCCGGCCGGCCCCCCGCACCCACGCCTGCCTCTGCGCCGGGGGGCTGGGTGAGACTGACCCCCCAAACCCTCGGGGACCCCCAAACCCCGGGGAACCCATGGGGGAAACAACCGGGACCCCCAAACCCCTGGGGAACCCACTGGGATTTCCCTCAGCTGAATGGGACCCCCAAATCTCCAGGGACCCCTCCGGGACCCCCAAATCACCAGGGACCCCACTGGGACTCCCATCCCCCTGGGGGTCTCTTCCAGCTCTTCCTGAACCCTCCCTGGGATCCCCCCAAACCACTGCAACACCCTGGACCCCCTTGGGACCCCCCCAGAACCCCCTCGGGACCCCCCAGAACAGCCCCTGGGACCCCCCAGAACCCCTTGTGACCCCAGAACAGCCCCTGGGACCCCGAATTGTCTTTGGGGCCCGTGCAGACCCCACCCCAAACCCCTCGGGGCCCCCCCAAAATTCCTCCGAATACCCCAAACTCCCACCCCCACCACCTCCCCTCGACCCCCGCGGGCCCCCCCAGCGAGCCCCCCGTGGCCATCACCGACTTCTCCCCGGAGTGGTCCTACCCCGAGGTGAGTGACGCACCCCGAGGTGAATGCTTTGTGACGAGGGGGTGTTCTCCCCTTTCCCCCCTCTCCCACCCCCCAGGGGTCCCCGCTGACGCCCCCCGGTGTCCCCCCGCCCCAGGGCGGGGTGAAGGTGCTGATCACGGGTCCCTGGGGCGACCCCGGCGCTGCCTACTCGTGTCTCTTCGACCGCACCTCGGTGCCGGCCGCGCTGGTGCAGCCGGGCGTGCTGCGCTGCTACTGCCCCCGTGAGTGTACCCCCCCAGAACCCCCTCGGGACCCCCTAGAATCCCTCGGGACCCCCCAGAACAGCCCCTGGGACCCCCCAGAACCCCTTGTGACCCCAGAACAGCCCCTGGGACCCCGAATTGTCTTTGGGGCCCGTGCAGAACCACCCCAAACCCCTCGGGACCACCCCAGAATTCCTCCGAACGCCCCAAAGTCCCAAATTCTCCTCGGGGACTCCCCAAAATCTGACGCCCCCCCCTTACACCCCCGCAGGCGCTCCCGGCCACAAGTGCAGCAGCACCAAGCACCGCATCATCTCCCCCAAAATGGACCGGGGGGGCTCGGGGGAGCCCCCCAAACCCGCCCCCTCCTCCTCCCCCGACACCACGCAGCCTTCCCCGGGGCTGGGGGACCCCGAGGGGCCCCGGGCCGCGCCCCCCGCTGCCGGGGGGCTGCCCCTGGTGGTGGTGGGCAGCCTCGGGGGGGGCGGCGCGGCGCCGGGGGGGCCCGAGCAGCCGCTGGGGCTGACCCCCAGCCAGCACCTGGTGGTGACCCCCGAGGGGTCGTGTCCCAGCGCCCCGCCGCCCCCGGCCGCCTTCGACCCCGACTGCTTCCTCAACAGCCCCCGCCGCGGGCAGACCTACGGCTGCGAGGCCGAGGCCCCCCCCGGCGCGCCCCCCCCGGGGCGGGAGGAGGATGAGGATGAGGAGGAAGAGGAGGAGGAGGAAGGGAAGCAGGGCGCGGGTCCCCAGGAGCCCCTCGGCGCCGCCCCCCTGCCCCAGCCCGCCTTCCCCCTCCCCGCCGCGCTGAGCCGTGTCCCCCTCCCCAGCCCACGAGGCCGGCGTGGCCGCCCTGCGCGTGGCCTGTCCCCCCCGGCTGCTCTCGGCCGCGGCGCCCTTCGAGTACCGGGCACGGGGGGCACCGCGGGGCCCCCCCGGGGCACAGCTGGACTGGCTGGCGCTGGACGGTGAGTGGGGACCACCCCCCACCCCCAAAAAGGGACCCCCGAATGGGGTAACCCCCCCCCGGGGCAGCTCATCCCCTTTTGGGGTCCCGTTGTGGTGACCCCACAACCTGTGGGGTGACGGTATCAGGGGTTGTGGTGCTCGGGGGGGGTCTTTGGCTGTCAGGGTGCCCCCCTCACCCCCATGTCCCCCCCTCTGGCAGAGGCTCAGTTCCGTCTGTCCATCCTGGAGCGCCTGGAGCAGCTGGAGACGCGCCTGGGGGCCCTGCCCCCCCCCGCCCCCCCACGGGGGGCTCCCTCCGAGACCCCCCCCGAGCAGGTGAGGCCACCCCCAGGCCAGCCCTGGTGATCCCGGTGTCCCCTGACGTGCCCTGATGTCCCCGGTGTCCCCAAATGTGCTGTGGTGTCACCTGGCATCCCCCGTGTCTGTGGAATCCCCGGGGTCCCCATGGTCCCCGCGTGTCCTTCGTGTCCTCAAGGGTCTCCTGCTGTCCCCACTGTGTCCCTCATGTCCTCAAGGGTCTTGTGACATTCCCTGATGTCCCCACTGTGTCCCTCATGTCCTCTGCCCTTCCCTGCTGTCCCCCTGTCCCCACCCTCCCGTGTCCTGCCGTTCCAGGTCACTGTCCCCCTCCACCGTCCCCTGCCACCTCTTGGGACCCCCCGGTGCTCCCTCCTGCCCCCCGTGCCCCCCTCTCCCCGTGCCCTGGCGTCCCCTGAGGTTCTCCCGGCTCCAGGGCCCAGGCTCGTCCTTCGAGGCGCGGGTGGTGGCCGTCTGCGAGGCCATGATGGCCCGGCCGGGGACGTCGGGGACAGCGGGGACAGCGGGGACCTCGATGCTGGCGCACGGGGTGACCTTCCGTGGCATGACACTGCTGCACCTGGCGGCTGCCCAGGGCTACGCCAGCCTGGTGGAGGCTCTGCGGCGCTGGCGGTGAGCGGGGACACCTGGGGACACCTTGGGGGACACCTGTGGGGGACACCCGGGGACCTCGCTGGCACGAGGCGGGGGCAGCGATGGGCAGAGGTGACACTTGCCAGCCTGTGTCCCCTGCTGTCCCTGCAGGGCGCTGGCAGTTGAGAGCCTGGAGCTGGAGCAGGAGATCGACCCCCTCAACGTGGACCATTTCTCCTGCACCCCGCTGGTGAGGGGACACTGGGGACACTGGGGACACTGAGGGGCACTGGGGACACTGAGGGCACTGTGGCCATGCTGGTGACAGCAGGGCAGGGTGGCCAGGCTGGCAGTGCACCCCAAGGGGTGCCTCACACGGCTGTGGGGACACCAGGGGTGGCATCTGGGGACAATGGCCGCCTCGGGGACACTGTCACCTCCGTGTCCCCAGATGTGGGCGTGCGCCCTGGGGCACCGGGAGGCGGCGGAGCGGCTGTGCCGCTGGGACCGGCGGGCGCTGGCCGTCCCCGACTCGCTGGGGCGGCTGCCGCTGGCCCTGGCGCGGGCCCGCGGCCACCTGGCCCTGGCCACCCGCCTGGAGGAGCTGCAGGTGTCACCCGCGTCCCCGCGCTGTCACCTGCCCGGCCTGCGCGTGCCGTCGCCGCTGTCCGCCAGCCCCGACACAGGTACGGCACCGCCCTGGGCTCTGTCCCCCCTGCTGGGGTCGCTGTCACCACGTTGTCCCCTTTCGTGTGCCCCCAGGGCATCGTTGTCCCCTCCAGGCTTCCCCCGCCGTGTCCCCTGTACATCTTTGTGTACCCAGGTGTTCTTTGTCCTGTCCCATGTTTCCTGTGCCACCCCCATGTCCCCCGTGTCCTCTGTCCTCGTCAGCCCCTCTGTGTCCCTGGTGTGTCCCCCCTGTCCCCTGGGGGTGTCTCTTGTGCCCCCTGGGGGTGTCTCTCCCCAGTTCTAACCCCCCCGCCGTGTCCCCTCTGTCCCCAGGGCTGAGCACAGCCAGCAGCCTGTCCTCCCCCTCGGGGCTCTCCGAGGGTCCCGGCTCCGTCCCGCTGCCCCCCGGCCCCCCTGGCCCCTCCGAGGAGGAGGGCTGGGGGGTGGCAGTGCCCCCCAGCCCCCCTGAGGACGCCCTGGCCCTGCCCTCGGACGCCCTGCAGGTAAAGCTGGGGCGCAGCCGGGGCTGGGGACGCCCCCGGGGCAGGAGAGCCCAAGCTCCTTTGTCCCCCAGGCCGAGGTGGTGACGCTGGCGCGACAGATCATCGAGGCCACCCCCGAGCGCATCAAGCAGGAGGCACCGGGGGGGCCCCCGGGGGCACTGGGAGCACTGGGAGCAGCGGGGGGGACCACGGGGACCCCGGGGCCGGCCGGGCCAGCGGGGCTGGGTGCTGCCATGGCCTGGCTGGCCACCTACCTGGAGAGCGTCGACCGTCCCCCCGCGCCCGCCCACAGGTACCCCTGGGGCTGGGGGGTGTCCAGGGGCACCCTCAGCTCCCTGGGGAGGGGGGTCACCCCCGTTCAGCAGCACCCCGGGGTGCTCTGGGGGGGTCCCAGTGACTGGGACAGGCTGTATCCCCTTGGGAGGGTCCTTTAGTGGGGGTCTCCCTCATCCTGCAGACCCCTGGGGGGCGTCACCCCCATTTGGCAGCACCCCGGGGTGCTCTCAGGGGTCCTGGTGACTGTGTCCCCGTGGGAGGGTCCTTTAGTGGGGGTCTCCCACTTTTAGCAGCACCCCGGGGTGCTCTCAGGGGTCCCGGTGCCTGTTTCCCCTTGGGAGGGTCCTTTAGTGGGGGTCTCCCTCATCCTGCAAACCCCTGGGGCCATCCCCTGGCTCCTGGGACCCCTCAACATCCCCCTGGGGACACTCGGTGACACTCCACGGGCACGTCCCACCCTGGGGTGCCATCCCTCGCCCCCCCTGACCCTGCTGCGTGCTCCCCAGGGCCGAGGCGGCCTCGCGGGGGTCCCCGGGGGTCCCTGAGCGGCCGCCCCCCCCCTCGGCCGCGGGCTGGGCCGAGTTCCTGAACGCGTCCGGGGGGGCGCGGGGCGAGGGGGGGGCCGTGGCGCTGCTGACCCTCAGCGACCAGGAGCAGCACGAGCTCTACGAGGCCGCGCGCCTGGTGCAGGGGGCTTTCCGCAAGTACCGGGTGCGTGCCCCCCTCCCCGGCGCCCCAAAAACCCCCCCCGGGGGGGTCCCCAACTCTGCTGACCCCCGCGCCGCCCCCAGGGCCGGAGGCTGAAGGAGCAGCAGGAGCTGGCGGCCGCCGTCATCCAGCGCTGCTACCGCAAGTACAAGCAGGTGCCGAGGGCTGGGGGACCCCCAAAATCCCCCAAAACCCCCTCCCCAACCCATCCCGGGCAGCCCCCAGACCCCCCCTAACCCCCCGTCTCTGCCCCACAAGCTGACCTGGATCGCTCTGAAGGTAACGGGGGAGGGGGGGAGTTGGGGGTCACTCAGGTTTTGGGGTGTTTGGGCACGGGGGTCCTTGCTGGGGTGGATTTGGGGTGCCCCCTTCTGTATCCCGTGTGTCACCCCAGTTTGCCCTGCTCCAGTGGGGTGCTGTGACACTGGGGTGACACCAGGGTCCCCGTTTGAGGATGCTGTGTCCCCCTGCCCCCCAGTTTGCCCTGTTCCAGCGGATGACGCAGGGTGCTGTGGCTCTGGGGTGACACTGGGGTGACACTGGGGTCCCTGTTAGGGGGTGTTGTGACTCTGGGGTGACTCTGGGGTGACCCTGGGTGTCCCCCTGTCCCCCAGTTCACCCTGTTCCACTGTTCCAGCGGATGACGCAGGGTGCTGTGACACTGGGGTGACACTGAGGTGACACTGGGGTCCCAGTTAGGGGGTGCTGTGACACTGGGGTCCTTGTCTGAGGGTGCTGTGTCCCCCCAGTTCGCCCTGTTCCGGCGGATGACGCAGGGTGCTGTGACACTGGGGTCGCTGTTAGAGGGTGTTGTGACACTGGGGTGACAGTGGGGTCCCAGTTACAGGGTGCTGTGGCTCTGGGGTGACACGGGGGTGACACCAGGCTGACCCCAGTGTCCCCCTGTCCCCCAGTTCGCCCTGTTCCAGCGGATGACGCAGGCCGCCATCCTGATCCAGAGCAAGTTCCGCAGCTACGCGGAGCAGAAGCGCTTCCAGCGGCGCCGGCGCGCGGCCGTGCTGATCCAGCAGCGCTTCCGCAGCCTCCGCCAGCACCGGTGGGACCCGCGGCGCCCCGGGGCCGGGGGGCGCGGCCCGCGGGGGTCCTGACCGCGCCCTCGTCCCCCTCCCCAGGAGCACCTTCCTCACCCTCAAGCAGGACCAGGCAGCCAGGAAGATCATGAGGTTCCTGCGGCGCTGCCGCCACCGGTACGGGAGGGGACGCGGGGGCAGCCCCGGGGAGGGGTGGCGGCCTGGGGAGGGGTCTCCAATAGCCTGAGCCCCCTCCCCACCATCGGTGTTTCCCAGGATGGAGGAGCTGAAGCAGAACAAGGAGGTGGAGAGTTTACAGACGCGGGGCCTGGCCTCGTGAGCCCCCCGCGGGCTGCCCCCCTGTCCCCCCCCGGCGTGTCTGGGTGTCCCCAGGAGGGGGACAAGGGGGGGACAGCCCCCCGCGCCCCCTCCCCCGCATGCCCAGACCCCACCCCGGCCCGCGTGGGCTCTTTGTACAAAGTTCCATTAAAAAACGAGGAAGCGGGAATGAAAGAGGCGGTGTGGCTGTGTTTGTGTGGGGGGGACACGGAGGGGACACGGAGGGGACATCGCTGGGGAGAGGGGACATGGCAGGGAGGGGAGCCCGGAGGCCCCGGGGCGGGAGCACCGGGCGGGCGGCGGCGCGTCCCGGCCCCGGGGAGGGGGCACCGGGCGGGGGAACCGGCGCGTCCCGGCCTTGGGCCTCTCAGAACCCCCCGGCCCTCACGCGGGGCCCCGCCCCCAGCGTCCTGGCCACGCCCTCGCTGTCCTGAGTGGCAGTGGGGGGCCCGCCTGGCCACGCCCCGTTGGCCGCACGCCCCGCCCCGGTCCGCTCAGGGCCCCGCCCCCGGCGGTTTTGGGGTGACCCCGCGCCCCAAAAGCGGCTTGGGGTGACCCTCGTGTCCCCCCCAGAGCAAGCGGCCCGCATGAAGAAGCTGCAGGAGCAGGAGAAGCGCCAGAAGGTGGAGTTCAGGAAGAGGGTGAGTGGGGGGCCGTGCCTCGGCGGGCGTCCCGGGGCCCCCACCCGCGGGGCCTCCCACAAACCCCGGGCTCCCCCGGGCTGCCCGTGTGTCCCCAGATGGAGCAGGAGGTGTCCCAGTTCATCCAGGCCACCGGCGAGCCCCGGCGCCGCTTCCAGCCCATGAACAAGATTGAGAGGAGCATCCTGTGAGCGGGGCCTGGGGGGTACTGGGGGCACTGGGAGCAGTGAGAGGGCACTGAGGGGCACTGGGAAGGCACTGAGGAGGTACTGGGTGCACTCTGGGGGACACTGGGGTTCACTGGGAGGGCACTGAGGGAGTACTGGGAGGCACTGGGAGGGCACTGAGGGAGTACTGGGGGGCACTGGGAGGGCACTGGGAGCAGTGGGGCGCTCGGGGACCCTCGGGGCGAGCCCAGGGACCCCTCGGGGGACCCCCAGTGCCAGCCCCGTGTCCCCCCCAGGCACGACGTGGCCGAGGTGGCCGGCCTGACGTCGTTCTCCTTCGGCGACGACGAGGACAGCCGCTACGTCATGGTGTTCAAGAAGGTGGGCGGGGGTCCTAGGGGGGGCTGGGGGTCCCGGGGGCGGTCTGGGGACACCGGGGGACACCAGGTGACGCCGCTGTCCCCAGGAGTTCGCGCCCTGTGACGAGGAGCTGGAGGCGTACCGGCGCGGGGAGGAGTGGGACCCGGCCCGGGCCGAGGAGCGGCGCCGCCTCCGGGTAGGCGGGGCTTCGTGTGAAAGGGGCGGGGCTTCAACGAGATATGGGCGGGGCTCTGCGGGGTGGCCAGGGCACTCGTGTGTAAGGGTGGGAGGGCTTACATGGGTGGGTGTGGCCTGAGTGGGTGGGGCATGCATGCATAATAGTGGAATTAATTACGTGGGTGTGGCCTGAGTGGGTGGGGCATGCATGCATAATAGTGGGATTAATTATGAGGGTGTGGCCTGAGTGGGTGTGGTGTTGTGGGCGTGGCTCGTGGCTGACCCCTCCCCTGCAGGAGCTGGCAGCACAGCAGGAGGAGGCGGAGCTTGAGTCCGGCCCCGCCCCCCCGGGCCCCCCCACCGACTACAAGGACAAATACCGGCACCTGATTGGCTGCGAGGCCGCCAAGGCCGCTGCCCGCACCATGGAGGCCAACAAGGCATACGGCTGCGGTGAGCGGGGGTCCCGGGGGGTCTGGGGGTCCCTGCCCGGGGGGATACGGGGTCTGGGGCTCCTGGGGGTCCCGGTCTGGGGGTCCCGGGGATCCCTGCCCAGGGGGTCTGGGGGTCCCGGGGCTCCCTGCCTGGGGGTCTGGGCTCCCTGCCCGGGGGGATACGGGGTCTGGGGCTCCCTGCCCAAGGGTCTGGGGCTCCCGGGGGTCCCTGCCTGGGGGTCTGGGTTCCCTGCCCGGGGGGATACGGGGTCTGGGGCTCCCTGCCCAGGGGTCTGGTGGTCCCTGCCTGGGGGTCTGGGGGTCCCGGGGATCCCTGCCCAGGGGGTCTGGGGGTCCCAGGGATCCCTGCCCGGGGGGTCTGGGGTTCCCGGGTGTCCCTGCCCAGGGGGGATACGGGGTCTGGGGGTCCCAGGGATCCCTGCCCGGGGGTCTGGGGGTTCCCGGGTGTCCCTGCCCAGGGGCTCCCGGGGGTCCCCGCCCGGGGCTCTGGGGGCGCTGGCGCCAGCGGCGTCTCTGTGCCCGCAGTGCCCGTGGCCAACAAGCGGGACACGCGCTCCATCGAGGAGGCCATGAACGAGATCCGCGCCAAGAAGCGGCTGCGGCGGGCGGGGGACGGGGACGGGGCCGGCCCCGGGGGGCCCTGCGCGTGAGGGGG